GAGGCAGGCACAGCCCCATCGTGCCTACGTGAAGATGCAGATGACAGGCCCTCCCTCCATCCCAACCCTCCTGGCCCAGGAAGGAGAGAAGAAGAGGCGGTATCTGCTGGACTAAATCCCCACCACCACTTCATTCCCTTTTCCCTTCCTTGTGTGTTGTGTCTTTAGATTGTAAACCTGAGGGCAGGGAACTGTTTTTTTCTTGTAAAGCACCATTTATAGTGATGGCTCTATACAAATGAATACATACATACATACATACATACATACATAATCTGACTAAAATGCAGCAAGGACACTTTGATGATAGATACACTGCTAAAGCTATGTACATCTTTAGTGGAGTTCCTCATTTTTGTTGTTTTGTGTCTTCAAGTTTCTGACTTATGGTGACCCTATGGCACCTATCATGGGGTTTTCTTGGCATGTTCTTGAGAGGGGGATTGCCATTGCCTTCTCCTGAGGCTGAGGCATGGTAAATATTCTCTAGTCATTCATCACCTTCATCTCCCTTAATAGTTTAATATTAGAGTTATTCAGTGATTCTAAATATGAAATGAAAGTGGAAATAAACTGAAGCTAAGCAGACTATGGTGTAAGAATACATGTTCCAGCCAGAGAAGGTCTGTCTAGAAATCAAAGCTGTGCTATCTAGAGTTCAATGACTGAAGAAAAGACAGGATTAACAGCAGATGTGCATAACCCCTATTTTTCCTATCAGCTATCTTTCGAGGCATTACTGTCATGCTTAGATATGAAAAATGTCCTACTTGAAACCTCTGAGTAACCAAAGAGCTTCTCCCACTGTATAATCCTCTGAGGAGAAATCATTTCTTCATTTCTTCCCACTTCTTCCCACTCATGCACTTGTTAACCTGAATAATCACCTCTAAACTGACTTCAGTCTCACTTTACAATTATACTGAAGGGATGATTCAGATGATAATATCATTAGAAAGATACCAGTCATCCAAAGACCAGGTATTCTTGAATCATCCTAGAGAAAGCTACTGAGTTAACATTCACACAGTTCCCTCTGCCAGTGTAGTTTCATGTTTCATTGAGCCATATCATGATTTACAAAAGACTCAGGATAGCCAGCAGTGATGCAGCTAAAATACTTACTGATGAGAGTTTGTCACCTAGGACAGCAAGCTCTTGAAGTTCCATTGTAAGACTGACCTTTTTGCAATATTTTTAAAGTAATTCCACTCATTCACTTTCACAGTGAAAATTACCCACACACTCCAACTTCATAAACTGACACTTGAAGCTTTACAATGATTCCAGCCATCAAATCTAAAGCAACTGGAAATATATTTTTCTAATGCTTCCTTTGCTGATACTGCAACATTACTGTATTTACTCTATTTTTAATGCATATTGGTCCGTATGTTTTTATTTTAGAATGCTCTAAGTAAAATCTGACACATATATAGTTTGGTATGTGATATGTAAGTTTCCAAATACACTAAATTATTTCCAAGCATGTTATCATTCAATCTGCAAATACATAAACTGTTATGTTATTTCCCACTCCAGTATCCTTAAGGGAAAATTTTGTAGTTCCAACTCCTAGAATCCCCAGCCAACATGACTAAATGATTCTAGAGCAAGGGTAGGCAACCTTTCCCCTTTAAGGGCCGAGGGACTTCAGATCCCACAAGCCTCAGCCATGTTGGCCAATAGTCCCATGTTGGCCAATAGCTCCTGGGATTCTGGGAGCTGAAGTCCCTCGGCCCTTAAAGGGGAAAGGTTGCCTACCCCTGTTCTAGAGGTTTTAGTCTGGTTACTGGTTTCCTTTCTCCATGCATTATTGGAATATTGGAGCCTCTCCCAATTTGCGGGGGATCTATTCCAGACCCCCCCCCATGAAAATACCAATTCGCAAATATTTGAGCCCCATTGAAAATAATGGTGCACGTGGGCACGCACAGCCATTTTTTCCCCACCTTCTTGTCCCTCCTGCAAAGAGCAAGACCGCAGACTGAAAGTCTGCGAAGAGGGAGGGACAACTGTAGTCTCAACATGGTCAAGACATTTTTCTTACTATTTGTCATCCAGAGGAAATTTATTTAATCTCATCTCAAGGAGCCCTGGTGATGCAGTGGTTAAATGCCTGTACTGCAGCCACTCACTCACCAACCAAAAGGTTGCGAGTTCAATACCAGCCAGGGCTCAGGGTCGACTCAGGCTTGCATCCTTCCAAAGTCGCTAAAATGATTAACCAGCTTGTTGGGGGCAATAAATAAATAAATAGCTTACAGTTGTAAACCACTTAGAGACTGCATAGCATGGTATGAAATGATATATAAATGAAGCTGCTATTGTTATTGCTATAATACAGTACTATTTCACAGAATTGTATGATGTGATGAGGAACAGAGAGTAGCCAAGAATCAACACCAAATTTTGTGACTGGATAGGGCATATGGCCATAAAACTAGTTACAGGTAACCAACCAGGCAAATGTTAGTGCCAACCAGTTTTGGCTTCATCTCTTTCTGTCAAACTCCTTCTCTCCCTCTCCCATGTCCTTTCTTTGCGATCCTTGGTTTTATTCACGATGCTATCAGCCTTCTGAGTCCTTTCGCTCTTTCATTACTTACTAAAGAGGAAACCAAAGAATCTTGTAGCACCATAAATAACAAATTTGTTATGACATGACTTTCACAGATCAGAGTCCACTTCCTAAATAGAGCAAATGCTATCCTAAGTTGGCAGATATGCACACACACATGAGTGAGGGGGTTGGGACAACAGCAGTAAGGTTAAACAGAAATTAAAAGAAACGCAGACTGCAATTATTACATCAAAGTTCAAACATAAAACTAATGACAGCAGTTTGAATCCAGTCTAAACTGGACTTTAATCACATTAAAATCCAGAAGATATACATTAGTCATGATTAATTTGACCCATTGATTTTGGTGGGGTAAAATCATGACTTAACTAGTCCAAAGGAGTGACTACTCACATGCCAAGAGTAAGCTAATCATCCCATCCATACATATCACTATCACCTATTTTGGTATCCATACTGAGAAAGATTCTCACTGAGCAGGAAGATTCTATATGGAAGCCTTTCTCAACCTTCCAAAAACCTTCTAGAGTTTTCAGACAACAGCTCCCATCATCCTCAGACAAGCAGTGATGCAGGTTGTTGTCCAATGCATCTAGAAGATGTGAAGTTAGAGAAGATTAGTGTACGGTCTAAAAGCCCTTGGATATTGTTGCAAATACCTCTGTTTCTGCCAGAGCTTGGAAAATTATGTTCCAGCTTCCCAAATCCTATACTATCATTCAGCTGTATTTCTTGACAGTAGCTATAGCAATTGCTCCTCACCACTGTAAAGCCATAGCTCTCTTTTAAAGTCTGGAAGATCTGATGCATGCAACTATTTGCCAGGCACAAATGTATAGTTCCAAGAGAAGGAGGATGGAGGGACAAAGTGACCATTTGTGTCAGAAAGACACTAATGGATTCCTAAAACTAGTATTAAGCAGTTTCAGGAGGTAAGAGACTGCTGCCTGGTCATAATTATTTCCTTCCTTTGAAGCTTTTCACCACATCCTCTTCTGTCATTCAAGCAAAGTAATTCAGAACAAAGACAGATTCACTTACAGATATCTGAGGGCGAAATATGTGTGATATATATCAGGGATACATATTTTGAAAACATGAGGTTCTGTACTCCTACATATGCAAAATTCCTCATAGGGTGACTGCCCTCTCATTTCTGATCCTCCCACCGAAAACTTCAGTTTTATGTTTTCATTATGACAGTAAATAAACCCAAATACTTTCCAACAGAGGTTCAGTCATATTCACTCATCCATGTCCTGAAATAAAGCTTAACTTAGAAGATATGGGAGAATTACAATTTACCACTTTTATAGAACAAGTAGTGGGAGTTAAGATATAATAAGGGTAATCTGGATTGTATGATCTTGAATTTATTAGTTTGGTCAAAGAGTAAAGTTTCTCTCCACTCTTGTAATGATGGCTTTGAGACAGGAAGCAGGCATTCTAGTGGATCTTAGCAATCAATAAATCAATTGTTTATAGAAATATGCTAACATGTTCGTTTGTAGTTTCCTTGTAATGTAGATATTTGGCAGATAAGGAAAAATAAGAAATCTACACCCATGAACACGTAAAAGTTAAAAGAAGCATGACTGGATTCATCTTGGCAACATTCAGATGCCATGCACTAGATCAGGGGAAAGCAACCTTTTTAAGACCTGGGCCGGTCTCCCGTCGCCCAGGTCTCGGCTGGGCCGAGGGGGGGGGAATGGCGGCGCGCGCGCTCACGCACACACACACGCACCCCCTGCGCATGCGGCCGTGGCCGCGCGCGCACCTGCAGCGCCGCGGCGCATGTCGCGGCCGCCTTTTTGGAAATCAAAATGGCAGCCACGACGCGTTTCCCCATGTGCAAGAGTACTGCGCATGCGCGAACGCGTCGCAACCGCCATAGAATCATAGAATCATAGAGTTGGAAGAGACCACAAGGGCCAT